ATCCAGCCTCGAGCGTTCGGGAGAAGGAGGAGGCCTCCAGTGCAGCCCGACACTCTCGGCGGCCCGGGAAAGCATAGCGGTCAGCTCTGGATCTGACTCGGGCAACGCCACTCTTCCTGACAGAGGTAGCGCAGCCGAATCCTTATCTCCAGAGCCTAGCTCGCCCTCCGATACAGCGGTCGACATCATGTCATCCGCTTGTGCTCCGGCCAAGATGCTGGACCCCGCCCTGTCCGAGGACCCAGCACACTCGTCTAGGAACACCAGGTGGTGCGACATGCTCGAGAAATGAGAGGCCCGCGGAGATGTACTCGACGGGGAAACTCTCACCGTGACCACTCGACGGGGAAGCTCTCACTGTAACCCTCAGGTCTCCCTGACCATGAACCGAAGTAGCGCGCCGAGAACCGGAGGAGCTAGAGCGGGGCAGGGCAAGGGGGATAGCCCCCGTTTAATGAGGAGGTATCTAGACTGCAACGTCGCGATGGTCATGTTCCCGCACTGAGAACATGACTCATCCATGAGCGCTGTTTCAGCATGCTGTAAATTTTTTTTTTTAGGCACGAGACACAGCAATCATGACCATCAGATGAAGGAAACGACCACATCCAGAAACGCACGAGCGGGAAGCCATCTTTAAAAAGACACCCGTCGCTCGTGGAGCTCTTTTAGATATTTGCTCTTTTAGGAAAAAAAGGAAACACTCTTTTAGAGAGAGCGCTGAAGCGCCCAGGGGAGGTCGCGGCGAGACCGCAGAATGGCAGCTGCAGCATGCCGAAGATGAGCAGCACTGAATGGCAACCCACGCTAACGCGCCGTAACACCAACGCTAGGCTGTTTCTTTGCAGACACTCGCGGAGATTCGTCCTAGTAGAAGGCTCGGCTCCGAAGCGAAAAGCTGATGTGCGTTTGCACACGCTCTCCTTTTATACCCGCGCTGCGGGGCGGGGTGCGTGTGGCGAAACACGCACACCAACTGTCATTGGCTTGTTTAGTTAACACTCGAAGGTGATTGGGCTCTCAGGCGAGATCCCAATTCGTCAGTCACGACTGACGTAACGTAGAACTGAAAGGGAACCGAAAGGAGTCTGGATGCATGGCAGACCATCCAGTGAAACATTTTGCAGCCAAGACTTTTTTTATTTAACTTAGGGTTAGCAAACAGAACCAGTTTTTATTCTGAAAATTCTGTAAACAAATAATTTAATAATGACATCTGTTTACATAAATGGTTCTCGCACATGCATTTGTCTGCAGATAAGGATTAAGCACCATACTAAATTACTCTAGTAAAGTCCAATTCTCAAGCTAATGATATGAGCCAGTTCTTTTTAGTGAATCAAAACATACCGCATGACCAGTGAGAACAGATTCCTAAGCTAATGACTCTTATTATCTTTTAAACAGACATACAGCACAACCAATGTTCTGTCAAAGGCTGATTCATTCTTTAAATCATATTATAATGTTTATAACATTTAGCTTTGATTTACCCACAAGAAGGTTCCCTTATTTACCAAACTGATGTTAAGATTCATCCCCAGCATAAAATCACTGCAACATTTTTCACTGTGAGGTTGGGAGAATGGATTCCAACATAACAAATATTAAAAAAAAACAAAAAAAAAACAGTAATACCAATGATAAATAAATAACAAAAACATGAAGTATAAACAAACAAGTATACTAGCCTAATAAATTGTTTAATAAAGAAAGTGACCCCCTTTGCCTTTCTTCCTAACTGGAGAATTGCAGTCTAACAAGAAGAACAGTACATTTTATTTATTAAACAATTTATTAGTACTTGTTAAATTTGTAGATACGGTCCGAGTTGACAGATTTCAACACTTAGGTAATTGAATTATATCTCTGTGTTCCCCCTGACATCTGCAGTGATTCATTTTCTTTCCCCCTTTTGTAAATCACTCGGGACTTCAATTTAGATTTGCGTCTCCCTGTTTTCGCCGAGCGGAGGGAGAGGGATCGATTTGGTTGCCCCTCTCAGCATCAGAGAGGGTCTTACCGCTCGCACGGCATGATCGATTTACAGTGTGGAAAGCTGTTTCTTTTTTAATCCTTCGAGAAACAAACCATAAACGGTTACCAGGCGTAGAGTTCATGTGCGCATGTAACGCTGACAGTGAGGACTGAACAATATGTGAGAGGGTTGATGGCCATTTAGCTCAAGGCTAATGTATAAGCATAGCCATTTAATCCTTCAGAACAGAGACAGATCAAGTTAATGCACCCTGTCACATCCTCTCTGCCTCAAGACAACTCTGCTCAATGTAAAAAAGGCCCTCAGCAAACTCCATTCAGCTGGTTAGAGGATATCAAGAGACTGCCTGTCCTCTATTGCACCGGTGGCCAATTCATGTGTGTTTTCAAACAGTTGCAATCTCATCAGAAAATGTCTGTTGGCAAAGGGTGTATTTTAATATATAAAATTGTGTCAACAAGGGCGAAATACAAAAAGACGAAAACATTATGACGATAATTTTTAGAATAATTCAGAAATATATAAAAAAGAACATCAACAATGCTAACAATGTTTTTAGGAGGGGAAAAAAGATGTTCATGTTTCATATACATTGTGTGTGCATTTGTACTTACAGTACATACATACACACATATGAACATATGCACACACACAAACAAACTATCTATACACTAACACACACACACACACACACACA